AAAAAAAAAAAAAAAAAAAAAAAAAAAAAAAAAAAAAAAAAAAAAAAAAAAAAAAAAAAAATAGATTTGATGTTTTCTTTGACTTATGTATTCATTTCTTTTATTGTGTCATCAATGTCTATTATTCTGTCTTCCATTTCTTGTATTCTGTTGGTCAAGCTTGACTCTGTGATTCCTGTTGAGTTCCTAATTATTTTTTATTTTCTTCAGTTTGAGTTTTCTTTGTTGATTCTATTTTCATTTTCAGGTCTTCAGTGGTTTTATTTATTTTCTTCCACTGTTTGTGTTTTCATAGATTCTTTTAAGAGATTTATTCATTTCCTTCTTAAGGCCTCTATCATACTCATAAAGCCTATTTTTTGGTTTTTTCTTGTGCTTCAGCTATGCTAGAATATTCAGGGCCTGCTCTGGTAGGGTTGCTGAGCGCTAGAGGAGACCAGTTGTCCTGGCTGTTGTTGATTGTTTTTATACTGGTGTCTGGGCATCTGGAATTGGGAAGATTGTAATTCTAGGTGCTGATATCTGGTCCTGTCTTTGTTGGTTGGGTGTTTTATTCATTGGTTTCCTCTTTCCTCTCGTCCTTAGGAATGTTTAGTGGCTGTGTATGGCCTGTAGGAAAATGTGGGGTCCTTATAGGTATGAGGGCTGGTGGTTCCAGGTAAAATGTCTTTCTCAGTATTGGGACCTCAGACTTAGGAATGGGGATATGCTGGGGGGGGGGGGGTGGCAGGAAGACAGGGTGTTCCATCAGCATCTGCTTAGTCCCCTTGAAGTTTGTTTTTGGAGTGTTCATTTGCACATCAGAGCATATAAATTCAAGTTGGTAGAAGACCCTTGTGTTGATGTGCTGTAGGTTGCCTGTATTGTCTCAGTACTCATTATTGAAACTCAATCTGTAATAGGATAGTGTTTGCAAATGGAAAGTTTGGGAGGTAATTAGTGCTAGATGAAATCATGAGGGTAAGGATCTCTTTATGGGATTAAGAAAGACTCTGATAACAGATAGTAGAAAGCATACATACCAATGTACATACACACACACACACACACACACACACACTAAAAAAGAAAGCCTTAATTGAACACTGTTTTCATCCTCTATTAAAGAAAAGTAGTATTTATAAGTCTCAAGGAACTCTTCAGAGAAAGTTTCATAAGTCCCAAGAGACGTTTCATAGATAGTCTGTGATGTTCTTGTGTTCAATTTGATATGAATCTCAAACTGCTGCAAAAACAAAAACAAAACTTAATATTAGCCTGAGCATTTAATCCTTGCACTCAGGAGGCAGAGACAGGTACATCTCTGTTAGTTTGAAGCTGGCCTGGTCTTCATAGAGAGTTCCAGGACAGCCAGCAACGTTGTTGTACCCTGTCTCAAATAAACAAACCTTAATATTTAAACATCAGTGCCAAAATAAGAAAATAGGGGCCAGGAAGATGGCTTTGTTGATAAAGTGCTCAGTCCCAGGCTGTCCTTGTTTGTGCTATGAAATGGCTCAGGGGGTAAAGGCACTTGCTGCCAAGCCTGATAATCAATGTTTAACTCAAAGAAGTCACAAGGTGGAAGGAGAGAACCAGTCCCCATATGTTGTTCTCTGATCTGCACACTTGCATGGTGCACAGAAGTACACAACACACACACCATAAATAAATGTAAATAAATAAATAAATAAAGCCAGGCATAGTGGAATATGTCTCTAACTGTAGCACTCAGGAGGAAGAGTCAGATGAATCTCTGAGTTAGAGGCCAGCCTGGTCCAAATAGTGAGTTCCAGGACAGCCAGAGCTACATTGAGACTCAGTCTCAAAAAATAAAATAAAATAAAGTAAAATAAAATAAAATAAAAAGGATGTGATTGTTTTAATGTTTTTGGAGGTTTATTATCTCTATTTTATGTGTATGGGTGTTTTGCTTACATGTATTCCTGAGCCTGAAGAGGGAGTTGGATTTCCTGGAACTGGGGTTACAGACATTTGTTAACCACCATGTGGATGCTGAGAATGGAAACCAGGTCCTTTAGAAATACAACCAGTCCTCTTGACCACTGAGCCATCTCTCCAGCCCTGGGTGTGATTATTTTAGACAGTCTCGGCCATGGGGAAGCGAAGGCTGGTGACCCTCGAGCATACTCCCTGTCTATCTTTTCTTCTCATTGACCTTGCAGTGCACACCTAATCCCAGAACTGGGAACTGAAGGCAAGAAGACCAGCAGTTCAAGGCTAAGCTATATAGGTAGCTTAAAACCAGACTAGGCTAGACCTTATCTCAACCAAAAAGAAAAAGAAAAAAAAAAAGAGTTGGCTATTGTGGTGCACACCTATAATCCCATCACTTGGGAAGGAGATACAGGAGAATCTCAAATTTTGGGATAGCTTGGGCTACATAGAGAGACCCAGGGACCTGTTAGTATTTTGAACTGCCCCTTGGGGACCTGCCCCTTGGGGTCCTGCCCAGTGTCCTGATGTCATCTTATGTCAAGTCCCCTTTAAGAAAAAACTCCTTCCTCTTCCCTCTCTCTCCCCTACCTCTTGCTAGAGGTAGCAGCCCCCCACCCCCACCCCCTTCCCGTCCTCTCTCCCTTTCATAATAAACTTTCCATGTGGACAGTTATTATAACTCTCCACTGTTCCATGCCTCCCTCACCCACTGGGGCACCTTGGCCCAATCCGCCAAGACCTCTCATACAATACCTCATACTAAGACTCTATCTGAAAAAGACCAAACCATCCAAACCCAAATCATTTAAATCAAAGAAAAACTAGGAGAAAGGGTTTTATAAGATTCCTAAGGATTCTTTTGTGTTCCCTACCCCATCCTCATTTTAAATAATTGCGAATATATTTGTGATAATATAAAAATAATATATCTATTGTTTGGGAGAAGGAGGAAGATACAGAAAAAAATGAGGAAGATCCAAACATTGCTCTCAAAATAGCCACACTCAAAACGCTGGCCTGTTGGCTGATGTGTAAGTTTAGACACATAAAGGGATACACCAAATAGAATTCTATATCCTCCATTTCCCAATGAAATGATAGGCATTTCTTCCACTATTAAAATATCCTTGAAATTATGATTTATGGAATTACATTTTCTATTCCAACGTAAGTATTATGTAACAATTGTTTCTGTGAAAGTTGCCCAGCAATGAATTTCAGATAATGCCCACAATTTTTTGTTGCTATTGTGTTTTGAGATAAGGTTTCTCTTTGTAGCTCTGGCTGTCATGGAACTATGTAGACCAGATCCACCTGCCTTTGTTTCCTGAGTGCTGGGATGAAAAGCGTGGGCCACCATGCCTCGTCAAGATAATGTCCACAGTTGTTTTTTTTTTTGTTTGTTTGTTTGTGTTTTTCGAGACAGGGTTTCTCTATGTAGCTTTGGGAGCCTTTCCTGGAACTCACTCTGTAGACCAGGCTGGCCTCGAACCCAGAGATATCGGCCTACCTCTGCCTCACAAGTGCTGGAATTAAAGGCGTGCACCATCACCGCCCAGCATGTCCACAGTTTTATTACCTGCAATCAGCATCTTATATCCAACAATTTCTTCCCTATACCAGTATACATTCTGCAAGGTGACACTTTAGGAATGCTATTTTCTCTGACATATGCAGAAAGGAACTGTTCATATCATGATTTTTATCTAAGATGTTCACCTACAACGGCACAGGAAGGCCTCCAGAAATGGTCCTAACTTGGAGACACCTTGGAGTTCAGGAGCGACAGGACTAAGCAATAAACATCTTTATGATAAAGGGCCAACATCAGAAGCAGCAGGAACCTTGTAGGACAAACCACCACCATCACCCCAAAATGAAGCCAATTATCTATGATGATCAAGCTGCCTCTTGGAGCAGGTGTAATCACCTTACAGGAAAAATAAAACTTGTTTTAAATATTCTTTTGGGAGAGATCAATATTGTAAGAGTAAAGGAAACGCCATTAAACGTAGGCTTGGAGGTAGAAGAGCTGGGGATGTAGCTCAGTAGCAGTACAGTCCATGTCTAGCATGTACAAATAATTGTCCAACCCCTAATAATGTTGGTGATGCTAAACAGGCTTGTAATCCTAAAACGGGAGCTGGAGGCAGGAGAATCAGGCATTCAAGGCTTATAGTTGGCTCATAAAAGCCCGCTGGGCTATATGAGAATGTCTTTAAAAACAAACAAACAAAAAAGGATGTAGAACTCATATCTGCCAAGTGAGACAATTACGGGCCCCCTTTATATCTCACCAGCAAGATTTCTCCCTCTCTCCCTTGCACCCGCTCAGTGTTTGCACACATCCAAGATGGTGGTGGATCAAGACAGCGAAACAGGTCAGCTCTCCTTCCCACAATGGGCGCGGGCGCCGGCTGCGCAGGCGCACTCCGGCCTCCCGGGCCGACCTTGGCGGAGCGCGCCTGCGCAGTGGGGAGCAGTTCGTGGCTAGGTTCTGGGCTGGCTGCAGTCTCGGTCTGACGGCGGCCGGAGCGGCTGTCTCGAGTAAGATGAGGCTCCTGCTGCTTCTCCTGGTGGCGGCGTCGGCGGTGGTCCGCAGCGAGGCCTCTGCCAACCTGGGCGGCATGCCCAGCAAGAGATTAAAGATGCAGTACGCCACGGG